CAGGGGAAGGACCCCTGGGCCTTGGTGGGGTGGTGGCCCTGAGTCGGTGAGCCTCCGATTCTCAGCCAACCCCCAGGCCTGAGTTACGGTCCCTCCGCGAGTGGCTCAAGAGCCAGGAAGGAGAAGGGCAGATGGCTCGCTTCACCACCTGGTGTCTATTTATACCTCCCTGCACCCCAGTGCAGGCTGCCGGCTGAGGCACGTGGGTAAGACTGTGCCCCTGTGGAGGGGGTCCCAATACAGCAGACAACTTCCCACAAGCACGGCCGGTAGGCTGGACAGAGCCCAGGGCCAGCAGGCCCTTGGTGTTAAAAAACACACACACCCTGCTCTTGAGTGACTGGGGGTCTGATGCCCTTCACTCTTGTTGGGAGGGCGGGCCATCTTTCTGGGAGTCTCCTTCCCCACGGGCTCTCACAGGACGTGGAAAAGAGAGACCTTCCCAGCCAGTTTAGGGAAGTTGTTTTTTGTTTTTTTTTTGATTCTTTGAGCTACAAACAAGGAGATCCCACCCCAGAGCTCTGGTGCAGCCAAAGCCACGAGGGTGGAGCTGAGGGGAGGATGGGCCTGGGTCCAGTGTCTTTCTAGCAGCCTCTTCTGCCCCCAGTGCCACCCGCTCTGCGCTGCTCACTGGCTCTGTGCACTGTGGGTTCTCCCGCTTTTCCTGGCGGCGGGTCTGGGAGACGTGAGGAGAGGGAGGTGGACACACGGGAACCCTCTGATCTCAGCAACTGCTCTTCTCCTTTTTTTCCTTCTGGGTATCTCTCTAGGGCCCGAGACTGTGCTGAGGAGACGGAGGTGGGAAGAAGAAAGGAAAAGAAAAGAAGCAATAGGAGAAGAGAGGGTCCTACACGGGTGTCTTTCATTTCTCCTCGTTCTCAAGATGTGTAGGCAGTTAGACATGAGCAGAACAAGGACGAAGGGCCAGGTACGGAGGTCACCAGGGCCCTGGGAGCCAGCAAAGGACAATGGTCGGGGGGGAACTTTCTTCCCAAGCACCTCACTGGTCATGTGTTTTGGACCCCCTGACCTTTCTTTCCTGGAGATAACATCTAAGCCTCAGTTGAATTTCAGCTCCAGGCCCAGAAAAGCAGCAAAACCAGACAAGCAAAACCACGGCCAACGCAGGACCAGCTACATTGAATAATGACCCCTGGCCCTGGTGCCCACTTAATCAGTGGAGCCCCCAACCCTGAAAGGACACAACTGGAAAGTTGTGAATATTCTACTGAGATCTTCCCCTGGGACCTCCCCTAAAATTTTCCCCCTTAAAACCTCTGGTCATGTGTTTTGGACCCCCTGACCTTTCTTCCCTGGAGATAACATCTAAGCCTCAGTTAAATTTCAGCTCCAGGCCCAGAAAAGCAGCAAAACCAGACAAGCAAAACCATGGCCAACGCAGGACCAGCTACATTGAATAATGATCCCTGGCCCTGGTGCCCACTTTATCAGTGGAGCCCCCAACCCTGAAAGGACACACCTGGAAAGCTGCTGAATATTCTACTGAGATCTTCCCCTGGGACCTCCCCTAAAATTTTCCCCCTTAAAACCTTTAGGGCAGAGGACCCAGCTGGCTCTCCCCTCCTGGGAGCACGCCTAAGCCTTTCCCTTCCTCCTGCCCCTCCCCATCCCCAGGGGCATTGCCTTGACCTTCCTCACTTCTAAGCTCCAACGGGCCTTCCTTTACCTCTATCACTTGTTACCTAAGCCAGTTTTTTTTCCTAAAAATTACTTCTATCTCTGACTTTCCAAATGAACATTCTCTTAGAGTTTGGGTCTTGGCTCTGAATTCTTTCCTTAGCCAGAACTCAAGGACTGAGGTTGCTGAACCCAGGTCTGGTCTGACCCCACTGGTCTAATACCTGGTGCCGTTCTTGCCACCCCAACAGAAACACAAGGGCGAGGCCACTTCTCCGAGGCACACACTTATCAGAACCACAAGGAGTCAAGCATGAAACTCTGAGCCAAGCAAGCTGAAAGGAGACCCTCTCTGCCATGGGACAGCGGAGGTGAC